CTATTTCTGCTTGGGTTATATTTAGCTCTTGAAGGAGGAGGAGGAAGAAGAAGAAGAAGAAGAAGAAGAAGAAGAAGAAGAGGGCAGAAGGGGGCAGAAAGGGGCAGATGAAGAGGAGGAAAAGAAACGTTGAAAAGGAGAAGAAGGCGGAGGAGGAGGAGGTGGAGGGCAGAAGAGGCAGATGAAGAGAAGGATAAAAAGAGACGGGGAAAATAGAGTATCCCAACAGCGAAAGACAAGGAGAAGAGGAGGAGAAACCCACGCCATCCCGACGGCGATTCGATGTTCTCCCGAAGAAGGAATCCGTCGGTCTCGGTCGCCGCCCGCGCGTTTTTCCGGCCCTCGTCGCGGAGGGCGGCTGGCGGCGGCGGCGACTCGGTGTTAGGAAGATGGCGGAGGGAAGGAGGGAGGGGTGGAGGGAAGAGGGAAGGGGGAGGGGGGGAAATGGGCAAGGAAGGGAAGGGAAGGGGGGGGATGGAAAGGGAAAGGAAGGGAAGGGGAGGGGAGGAGAGGGGAGGGTAGGACGGGAGAGGAGGGATGGGAGGGAGGCGCGCAGACAAACAGACAGACAGACAGCAATATAAACTATCAGACACACAAAAAAAGAGTAAAAGAGAGAGAAAAAAAAAGAATATACAAGATATGAAGTGAGTGGAAGAGAAAGAGTTCAAACAAAAAGTTCGAGATTTTCCGGAATTTCGTCGCAAGTTGAGTGACTGATAAGGCTTCGAGTTGGGGCAGGTGAGGGGTGCTGGAGAGGGGGGGAGGGGGGGACAAGGGTCAGAGGTGAAGGCAAGGTCACGGAGACGGCACAGGGGGGGGGGGCGGTGAACTTGTTTGGATGAGGAGGGGGGGGCGTGACGAGGAAGGAAGGAGGAAGGTGAAGGAGAGAGGGAAGATGGGGGGGAGTAGGGAGAAGGTGGAGGGAAGGAAGAAGGAAGAAAGGACGAAGGAAAGAGGGAAAGATGGGGGGGGTGATGGGGTAAAGGGGGAGGGGGTGAGGGGCACGGGGCGGAAGAAGTATTGAGCGAGGACGTGTGAAGGTCGACACACCTGATCATTTTCCTGGGAGACGTTTCCCCTCGTTCTTCCCCCCTCATTTTTTGTATCCCTACACCTCTTCCCCTCCCCCTCCCTTCTTTCACGGTCTCCCTTTTCTCCTTATATCATCATCCTTCTTTCACTCTCTATTCCTTTTTTTCCCCTCTTCTCCTTCTTTTCCCCCCTTCTCTCCTTCCCTCTTTCAGTTGCCCTTTCATTTTTCTCTCTGTTTCCCCCTGCCCCCTTTTCCCCCGCTCACCTTCTTTCCCCACTCTCCCCCTCTTCTTTTCCTCTCCCCTATCCCGTTTCTCTCCCCCTCTCCCCTACCCCCTTCCTCTCCGCCTCTCCCCTACCCCCTTCCTCTCCGCCTCTCCCTCCTCCCCCTCCTTCATTCACTCATCCGGGCATAAGCTTTCTCTTGGTCTCTTATTTACCATCACAATCCGTCTGGGACAGAGGAAATTTGCTTTCATCTCTCTCCCTCCCTCCCTCCCTCCCTCCGTCTCCCTTTTTTCCCTTCCTCTCCTTCCCTCTCTCTCTCTCTCATTTTCTCTCTTTCTCTCTCTTCCCCTCTTGCTCCCCTTTCGCTCAATCACGCAACTTTAGCAGAAAAGCCATTGACTGCCCCCCCCCCCCCTTCTAAGATCCTAACATGCCGATAACACGCCGCAGCTGTTGTGAGAGTGCGGTGTATATGAGCACAGTTGCAGGGAAGGGAAAAAGACCTTGAAAGAACCTGGCCCACTAAATAAAACATGGCGTGGTTCCCCGTAGACTTTCCCCCCCTCCCTCTCCCTTTCTTGCTTCTCCGTTAGGCCTATCGATGTTGGGGGGTCTGGGGAGGGGGAGGCATCCTGGATACGGGGGCCTTTCTTGTGCTTTTATTATATTTTTTGCTTGTTCTATAGTTCTCTTCTTTCGTTTCTCTTTTTCTGTTTTTCTTTTTTTTGTAAACTTTTTTTTGTAAACTTTGTGGGATATTTTCTATTCATTTACTATTTTTCAGGTCTTTTTCACATACTTTGCAATTTGTCTGTTGATTTATCTATTTTTCTATATATTTACTTAACTCTTATACATAGATTTATTGATTTATGCATTTTTTTTCTCGCTTTATTTCCCTAATCCAAACCTACGTGGACTGCCGTTTTCTATGTCGTTGTTATTTCCACGCAACAAAAAACGGAAGACGAGCGGGACACGAAATCTTTGTTTTATTTATTTTTATTATTATCTTTTTTTTTTTTTTTCAGTATGATGAAGTGTGCGTTTCTTTGTTGTTATTGTTGTTGCTGCTGCTATTGTGGTTTTAATCATATTAATATTGTTTTTTTTTATTTGTCATATTGTTTTGGTACAAGTAATATGGTTATAGATGTTATTGTTGTTGTTGTTTTAGCTTTTGTTATTTGCACGTTTTGTTCATTTCGGGGATGTCAGGGGCGCGAGGTACATTCTAGAAGCTTCTGTCCAGGGTGCTTAGCTCTTAGCGGGCTGTTCAGTACAACGCTAATGACAGTGAGTGTAGTAGGCCTTAATTATGTTTATTTTTTATTTTTTATTTTGCTTTTGTTTTTTGTCTTTTCGTCGTTAGTTTTGTATGATTTTTTAAACTCGTTTTCCTCTTCCTTTTCCTTATCTCCCGACTTTGCCTTCCATACCACCCCCTCCCTCCCTCATTCCCACATCCTCATCTTCCTCCTCCTCCCTCCTCATCTCCCTCACCTGTACGTCATCCTTCCTCTCCCCTTCCCACTATCTCCTTCTTTCTCTCCTCCTCCCCCCCTCCCCCCTCCCACTCTCCATCCCTCTCTGTCCCTCTCCTCTTCCTCCACACCTCTCCCCCCTTCGTCCCTCTCTCCTCTCCCTTTCCTTCCCTTCCCTCTCTCCCCTGTCTCTCTCCCTTCCCTCTCTCCCCTCTTTCCTCCCCTCTCTCCTCCCCTTTCCTTCCCTTCCCTCTCATTTTCCCCTCGGAACGGGCACCGCCGTGGCACTCTCACTCTTTCGTGGCATCTCCGCCTTGAGTGCCAAGATGTCTGGTGGCATCTTGGGTAACGAGTTTGTTATTTTTGCCTTTTTTTTTTTTTTTTTTTTTTTTTTTTTTTGCATTCTGCCTTCCCTTCGGCGTCGCTTAATTACGATGTTTTTTATGTTTTTTTTGAGAGAGAGAGAAAGAGGAGGGAGAGAGGGAAAGAAAAAAGAGAAAGAGAGAGGGAAAGAGAAAGAGAGAGAGGAAGAGAAAGAGAAAAAAAGAAAGGAAGAGAGAGAGAGAGAGAGAGAGAAAGAGGAGATACCTGAAGTGAAGATCCAAAGGGAACCTGATAAGAGTTCAAAAGAGAGAGAGGAGAGGGGAGAGGGGAGAGGGTAGGGGGGGTAGGGGAATAACCAAACAGAATCATAGAGCTGTTGTTACCGGATAACGCCCACTTGTATTTGCTGGGCGTGGAGAGGGAAGGAAGGGGGGGGGAGAAAGGGCGGGGGAAGTGGGGGGGAAGTCGGTTCACAATAGAGGGATTTTTGTTTCTGATAAAAGATAAGGCTGGACGAAATGGCGGTTGGGAATGGCGGAGGAGATGTGTGTGATGAAAAGAGTGATAAAGAGAGGTATGAGATTTAACAAGAGGCAAGTAGAGAGATGAAGCGATGAAGAGAGGGGATGAAAAGGTGTCTAAATGATATAATGGGCGCGCGCGTGTATGTATGTATGTATGTATGTGTGTGTGTGTGTGTGTACGTGTATAGCGAAAATGGCAAAAATATCGTATCACAGGGGGAAAAAATATGAAAAATTACGACATTTATAAATAGTACGTCATAAGTTAGTGATTAAATATCTTATTTGTATCCGGGTGAGAGAGCGTGGGTGGGGTGGGGGGGTGGTAGAGGAGGGGGAGGGAGATGGGAGGGAAGGGAAGGAATGTAAGGAGGGAGGGAGGGGGAGGGAGGGAGGAAGGAGGGAGGCGGAGGGAAGGGAAATGAAGGGAGGAGGGAGGGAGGGAGAGGGAAGGGAAGCGAATGGAGGAGGGACAGAAAGGAAGTGAGGAGAGGAAGAAGAAAGGAGGGAGGGAGGTGGAGGGAAAGGAAGGAGGAGGGAGGGAAGGATGAAGAGATGGGAAGTGAAGGAAGGGGGCAAGGAGGGGGGAGGGGTTGTACCCTGAAGGTATGGTGCCAGGCGTGTTGTGAAGGGGTGGTGGCGCTGTGCCTGGTGACGTTTGCTTTTGTCGAAACGGCGCGCTTTTGATGTCATTTGCATATTTATGGGAATGTGAGTTTGGCGTGTTGTGAGCGTGTGGGCGGGTGTATTTTTTTATAATTTTCATTAATTTTGCTCTTTTACACGCATTGTCTCTTTTTTCTCCTTCGTTTCTCATCGTCTTTTATTGTGATTTTTTTCCAACTTCTTAATTATTATTATTATTATTATTATTATTATTATTATTATTATTTTGTTTGCATTTCCAATTTTCGTTTTTTTTATATATTCTAGTGTCCTTTTTTCCTCATTTTCGCATTTAACTTATTTAGCTCTGTCGCTCGTCCCCGTTTGTTATTCCTGACCCAGCGACTGTCACGCGGCGCTCTCTTTTTACTCGTGTTATTGTTTGACCGAATGTGGCAATATTTTTGGTGTTTTTCCCTCCCGCCGTTGCTCCGTCTGTTTGCCTTAACGAGGTGGATGGAAATAATGCCACAGAATATTCGAATAACAGCAGACAACGTGGATGTATAATGTATATGTGTATATATATGGATGTTTGATGTATATGTTTATGTATTACGTTGGTAGGAATATTGCTGTGAACTAATGATCTATGATTTCTCTTCATTGCAATGACAGAGACGTGGCTCTTATCTGATAGACTTTTTTTAATAGCAGTTGCGGAAACCTCGCCATGATTTATGTGCCAATCGTGAAACGTTGCAGTGACCCGACTAACGTTCCTTTCCTCTCGTTGCAGTGGTGGAAACCCGGTCTGCGGTCCTGAACGACCCGACGCCCAAGCCGCGACGGAAGCTCATCCAGGCGCCCAGGTTCAATCTGTCCGCGGAGGTGAGCGACGCCTCTGGCAGGCTTTCTCTTTTTTCTTCTCTTTTATCTTTCTTTGTTTTTTTCTATGGCTCTCTAGATATCTCTTTATCTTTCCCTTTCTCTTTCCCTTTCTCTGTTTAAGGCTTTTTCTTTCTCTATCTCCTTCTTCTTTCTCTTTCTTTGCATTATTCTTTCTTTTTTTTCTGTTCCTGTGAATCTTTCTCTTTTTCTGTTCCTTTGTCTCCTTCTTCTCTTTTTTCTGTCCATGTGAATCTTTATCTTTCTCTGTTTTTCCATCTCCTTTTCTTTCTTCTTCTCTGTTTTAGTCTTTTTCTTTCTCTTTTTTTATGTTCCTGTCAATCTTTATCTTTCCCTGTTTCTCGTTTTGAGTCTTTCTGAAGTTTTGGGATTTTTTGTGTGTGAATTCTTCTTCATGGACTTCTCTTCCTTCTTCATCTTTCAGTCCTCTTTCTCTTCTCTTCCTCCATCTCCCTCTCCTCTCCTCCCCCTCTCTTTCACACACACAAATTATTCCCTTTGTAATGAACGTTCATATCATACCATTAATGATGCATCTAAGGTTCAACTTGATTTTCATCGAGATATTTATTTATTTATCTGTTTATCTATCTAACTTCCTCCTGTGTTTCTTCTTTCTGTTTATCTCCCCTCTTTTTGTCTGTCTTTCTTCGAATTGCCCCTTTCCTCCATTTCCCCCCTCTCTTTTTCTCCCTCTCCCTCTCCCCATCCCTTTCCCCATCTCTTTCCCTCTCCCCATCCCTCTCCCTCTCCCTCTCCGAATTGCCCTCTCCCTCCATTTATCTCCTCTCTCTCTCTCTCTCTCTCTCTCTCTCTCTCTCTCTCTCTCTCTCTCTCTCTCTCTCTCTCTCTCTCTCTCTCTCTCTCTCTCTCTCTTTCTCTCTTTCTCTCTTTCTTTCTCTCTTTCTTTCTCTCTTTCTCTTTCTTTCCATCTCGCTCTCCCTTCCTCTCCGCATTGCCCCTTCCCTCTCTTTCTCTCCTCTCTCTCTCACTCTCTCTCCATCTGGCTCTCCCTTCCTCTCCCTTCCTCTCCACATTGCCCCTTCCCCCCATTTACCTCTCTCTCTCTCTCCCTTCCCCAGGACGAGGACGACGACGACCTGAGCGACATCCCGCCCTCGAGCCCGCGCCTGGGACACACGCCCCTCATCCAGGCCACCTCCGCCCGCAGTCCCACGCCCCACAACTCCCCTTCGCCGCCCACGTCACCATGGTCGCGCATGGGTATGTATTCGGGTATGGGGGTAGGGTATGGTAGGGTATGGTAGGGTAGGGTAGGATATGGGAGTAGGGTATGGTAGGGTATGTAATGGGTGGTCTGGGTTTGGGTGGGGTGGGTCGTGGGTGGGGAGGGTGGGGGGTTGGGGTTTTTGGGGGGGTAGTGATTTTGTTTTACGTTTTTTAGTTGTTGCTTATGTTTGTTGTTTTGTATCCGCGCGTTTGAATTTTGCTCGTCGACGTCAGTGAAATAACTTCAGGATATAAATACAGCATCCATTGCGTATCAACAAGGGTTCACAAAAGGTTGTATCCCCCCCCCCCCCCCCCCGAGGTGTGCCTAGTACACGTACGTAGGGAGAGCGTGTATAAATAGAGCGTTGTCCTGAGCGCCCCTTTTCGTTGCAGCGTTCGACCTGGCCAAGTACGGCAGCACGGGCACCCCGGAGCGACGGCACTCCATCACCCTGTGCGAGACGCCCTCTCAGGCACGCCCATCCTCCAACTCCATCACCCCGCCCTCGTCCATGCCCCAGTCCACCAACACGTCGGCGCCCATGTCCCCCGCCCACCAGGACTTCATCCCCTCCACGTCGCAGACGCAGAGGGACTTCCTGTCGTCGGTGAGGATTTCTTTTCTTTCTTTCTTGTTATTGTTGTCGTTTTTTATTCGTTTGTTTCTTTTAGTTTATTATTTTTTTCTTTCTCTCTTTCCTTCTTTCTTTCATTTATTGCTATAATTATTGTTTATATTTTATTATTTCCAGTTGTTAGGGTTAGTTCATCCTTGACATAATCTGTCTAACCATACATGTCATATCTTTGCATCACATATCCTTTTTTTTTTTCTTTTGTTTTCTGTGTACGACTTTGTGCAACCACACAAGACTCTAACACTGCCCTCCCCCCCCCAGGCACACTTCTCGTCACGGCTGGACTGCCTGGCCCTCACCCTGGAGGAGGTGGTCCACATCCGCAACGTCCTGACGAAGGCCGACCTGGAAGCCCTGCCCCTCGACCTGTCCATCAAGGAGGACATGGCCAAGGGCAAGATCTGCTTCCTGTGCATGAAGACACGCTTCGGTTTCTTCGGCCCAAGAGGACAGGATTGCAGACTTTGCAAGAGAACAGTGTGCAAGAAGTGTGTTACTAAGGTGAGGCTTTTGGAGTTAGGGGGCATTTGACATATTATTTTTGTGTCTTGTGGCATGTTTGGTTTTTCTCAGTTTAGAATGGAAGGAAATCACGGCTATGACTTTTTTTTCTATTTTGTTCACATTGGAGAATTGTTTTTTTTGTTTTGTTTTTTTAGATTCTAGAATTAATTCCTTCCATATTCCTCTTGATTGTACCTTTTTTTTTCCTTTTTTTTCTTCTTTCTTTTTTCTTTTCATATTCTTAAAGCTTCCATTATCCATGCGTCCTATCTTTACAAATCCCATCCTTTATTTTCCCCTTTCCTTTTCCTTTATCGTTCATTATGTGATTGTTCTTTCCATTCCCCGGCAGATGCGCATCCCCACCGAGCACTTTTCAAACATCCCCGTGCAGATGCTGACCCCACAGGCACTGTCTCCGCGAGAGGAGGACGAAGACATGTCTCTGCCGCGCTCCATCCTGTCGAGACTTACGGTTAGCATCTGACAAGTTATCTGTGTTTTGGCTCCTTTATTTTAAGACATAGATTGGTTTACTTTACATTTTTCTTTCATCCATTTACTTGTAATTTTGTAGTAACATTTTTTTGTCTCAGTTATCCATATTGTGTATGAAAACTTTATTTATTTATTTGCTTCTGTTGTTAGATTTTCTTTTGTGAGATCTTAGTATTATGGTCCCCTTTTTTTTTTTTTTTTTTTTTTTTTTTGGTCTCATTTATTTTGTTAATTATAGTGTAAGGTGTTAGTTGTAATAATTAATTTTCTTTCTTTTTTTTCTGTATGGATATTGGATAAAGATAAATGGGCCTATTTCGTCTCTAGAGATTTGAACACAAGATTGGAACAGATGTGGTATGCAAATGGAACTACCTTTTATAAGCATTTTATGAGACTCCTTCCCTCTCTTTACCTTTGCAAAGATGGCACAGAATTCAGGTGTTTGATTGTGCAGTTTAGGCATGTGAGGATCTTTAGGACAGATGATATTGCTATCTTCATTAACTTGATTGCAGAATTCAAAGTTTATTATCTTCAGAATTGATTACCTGATTTAATGTGAAGAAAAGAAGAGAATAGTGTTAAATGCACAGGCTCTCTTGATAAATAATCTTTACTTGTGTTTTTACTTACTGAAGGTAGTCATTGGCTATTATTATTATTGTTTTCTATATATTTTTTGGACAGGAGGTTTGGCAACATTAAAAAAAATCCTCATTTCTTTTATATAGTTTTTTTTTTCTACAGGGCATTTTCCTTTATTGAAATGTGATAACATAGATATAAAAGTTAGTGGTATGCTTGATCTATAAGCTAATGTTTGGGTAGAAAATAATAATATATTGTCTATGGGATGTATGTGTATTTGTATTGCATAGTGTTTTTTCTTCTTTTTTTTTGAATAACAGTGATAAATAGTTGTTAATGGTTTTATGTAGTCAATGTGCATGAGTGTTTCTGTGTGTTTGTAAAGAGGATGTTGATGAATGTTA